AATTGTCATTACAAATATATAAAAAAATACACAAATTTGTAAAAAATTAATAATATAAATAATTCTAAAGCAAATTGTTAATATTTACAAGATTTTTATTAAAATCTATACATGTACTTATTTAAACCTGTAATTCTAACGTAACCTAACCTAAACCTAAGACCTGAAACCTAAATTGTTTAAATCAGAATGAGATCTTCAACGAATGTTGATAAGCATTGAATAATTCAATGTGACGATGGGTCAGTTATGAATCCTCAATGGAGGATACTGAATAATTCATTATGATTATTATTAATGTAACGCCATTCATAAACGAATTAGTTGGACATTTGGAGAATCGAGTTTGCAAAATTCTTAACTCGCTCTGATTGATCTGCGAAGGAGAGTTGTAATGGCTACGTGGATACGTTTACCCTACTTTTACCTTGACTGTGCGCTCTGTGCCCCCCACTATGTACCTGAGGAAAAACCGCCTTCGCATACCTGTTACACGTTTAGCTCGACGCATCGTGCTGCATCATTTCGTACCATTACACGAACAATATGAATGCTACTATTTAACGTCGGGCCAGCAATTAATATAGTACATAGGTGCACGTGTTTTCACAAATTCTATTCTCTTTACAAATGCTCTGACATACAATTTCTATGCCTTACAATCAGTGTTGGGAAATGTTAAAAAAAGTACCCAAAATGTCCCCATAAGGGACAATTATTAACGAACTTCTCGTCACGAGAATCCATAACTGCGCAAGAACCAGTTTTCGGTCGCTGTCCCCATCTATCTCTCTTTCTAATGCTTTCCATATTTTTGCAACTATTCGGATCTACGTATTCGGTTACCCCCACTACTTTCAATAGATTCGGTTTGAAGTAGATCAGGATTTGTTGGTCAGACGCACTGCATTCATTATCAGTTTTCAACAGTCAATACTTAAAACAATATTTTTCTATTAATTAATTATATATATTCAATAAATGTTAATTAAAATTTAATAAATAAATAGCAATGTTTTTTTACATTCAATTTTATTAACTAATGTATTTAATTATTATGTACAATTTATTTAATATTGAGTACAAAATTTATTAAAATCTGTTGATACAAATTGAAAATATTAAATATTAATTATAATATGATTGAAGTTGCAAGGGCGTTCACCTGCACGTCTGCGCAACACGATCCTAGCTTTCCTCCATTATCTCTGATTCAACTTGATCTTCCCTAGGAAGAAACTCGTTCATCCGATTACAGTAAATTAATCGCTTGTGGATAAATATATGATTAAACATGTCAGACATTTAATGTCTCGATTTCACTTTGGCTGCCATGTCTTTTTATTACCACTGTATGTACGTACACGTACGTTGTGAATTGCTTCGGTATTCGTAACACTTGCTTGGACTTAAAAATGTTCCCAGGAACTTACAGAATCAGCGCATGTAATGATAATCGTTGTCGATTCGAGGTACTCGTCACGGTTTCCAGAGATCATTTTATATTCGACAATTTCACGTTCTGCTGCCCCGTTTAATTTCATATGACTAATCGGACTGAATGTAGTAACAGACCACTACTAGAAATTATGAATGTACTGTCGATAAGAAAGATCAATTCATTAATAATATAAAATCTAATAAAACAGTGAAAGTAGAAATTAGTATAGTTGTTTTATATAGGAAACCTAGGAAGTTTGGTATTTCTACTACTGCTACNACCTATGAATTGATTTAAAATTTTACAAGCAGCTTTTTAATAGTAATGGGAAGCTTATAATGATATTGTTTAAGTTTGTAGTTTATACATTGTTAATAATTTTAATTGCAGGAGGTACGAGTACTCCGTTGGCAAGCCACTATGCGAACGACGTGAACTACTACGAGATAAGCAATGAGGAGAGGTCAGACCCATTGGAGAAGTTTTATTTAATTCGAGAACAGAGGTGGCACACAGACACTGTGCTGCCTATTCCTTTATTGCCATCCACAGAGGGAATGTCAGCTCGATCTCATCACAGGTAACACATAAATCCTCATCAGTCCCATAGTAAATGTCTCAATTTCACAGCCTTTTCCTTCCATAATTTTCCAAAGAATATCATAGAAGCTAGGAATCCACTGCCTTATCCTCCATAATTTCCCAAAGCCAGGTCAGTCTTCAACCAACAAAAATTAGGAACCCACTGCCTTATCCTCAATAATTTTCCAAAGCCAGGCCAATCTTCAACCAACAAAAACTAGGAAGTACCCACTTTCTTCC